TCCTCATTTATTTCAGTTGCTACCTTGTGCGCAAAATTATCTTATGTCGACATTTCTTATATGTTCCATTATGTTCCAGACATGATATCATCGATTGAGATTTATTATGGTCAGGACCTTTAATACTTTGCAGCTTGGCGTCCCAAGCTACATTATATGGTACCTGTACCTTAGAGCCGGCCGGCCTTATCTCTATGTCTGGGATGGTTTCCTTAATAACCTCGGTTCCTATTGCACCTTTCTTTAATTTCCGAGGATTTTATCTTTGGAACCTATTGGTCTACCACGTTTATTACGTGTGTTAGACTCTGTAGCAATTTGATTGTGTTCCTTGTGAACATCAATACGTACTGGTGCATTACAAGCTGGTATGTACGATTTTGTAACTTTCTTTGGGTCAACAAAGGAATCTGGCAATTCATTAGCTAGCTTTTGCAAATTTATTATTTTCTGGACCTCTGATTCACATGCCAGAGTCCGAGGATCTTGCCAATTCAAGGATGTTTGATTCCATGATATTTCTTTGATATCTTTACCCAGCTTGTTCGTCTCTCCACCTAAAGTAGGAAATTCGGATTCATTAAAATGACAATCCGCGTATCTAGCCTTAAATAGATCACCCGTAGTTGGCTCTAGATACTTAATAATGGTGGGAGAATCAAATCCAACATATATTCCCATCCTCCTTTGAGGTCCCATCTTTGTTCTATGTGGTGGAGCAATCGGTACATATACGGCACACCCGAAAGTCTTTAGATGGGATATGTCTGGCTCATGACCCATGAGTAATTGGGATGGTGAATATCTATGTTCACTAGATGGCCTTATGCGTATAAGTTCTGATGCATGTAAAACAGCGTGTCCCCAAGCGGCTACTGGAAGCTTCGACCTCATGAGTAATGGTCGAGCTATCAATTGAATTCGTTTAATGAAGGATTCCGCTAATCCATTCTGTGTATGTACATGTGCCACGGGATGTTCCACACTTACCCCCATGGACATACAGTAGTCATTAAACGCTTGGGACGTGAATTCACCGGCATTGTCTAGACGTATAGTCTTAAGCGGAAAATCTGGAAAATGGGCTCGCAGTCTTATTATCTGGGCCAATAACCTAGCAAACGCTTGGTTTCTAGTAGATAGGAGACAAACATGCGACCATCTTGTCGATGCGTCAATGAGGACCATAAAGTATCTAAACGTCCCACATGGTGGGTGTATTGGTCCACATATATCTCCTTGTATCCTTTCCAGAAAATTTAAGGTCTCTTTATTTACCTTAGCCGGTGATGGCCTTATAATGAGTTTCCCTTGTGAACATGCTTCACACGTGAGATTCTTAGGGATAACTCTTTTCTCTCTTAGGGTGTGCCCCTTTGAATTAGTCATTAATTTACGCATCATATTCTGACCCGGATGGCCAAGCCGGTCATGCCATAAAGTGAATTTCTCGATGAACTCTTTGTTCATTGCCATATTAGCTTCGATCATATCGATTTTAGCATAGTAGAGACCAGTGGATAATGCGGGTATAGTCTCTAGGACTTTCTTATGTCCTTTGGTGATCTCAATTATATTTAGGAATTCTTTGTTCCCTTCACCCTTTGTTTAAATATGGAAACCATCCAATCTTATATCTTTAAAACTCAATAAGCTCCTTTTGAGCTGGGTGAATACAAGGCATCGCTTAGTTCAAGATGCGTGCCCTTTGATAAAAGTATATGGGCTTGACCGTGGCCCTCAATAAGACTAGCTATACCCGCTATGGTGCTAATATTGGCATTTTTATTATGAGATTTAGGAAAATATCTCTTGTCTTTTGTGTGGCTCCATTATCCACAAATATGTTCTTGTCCTCGGCCATTTCTTATATGGACAAGAATCATGTTCTGAATATAAAATAATATAAAATAAATTCAAGCAAATAACAATCAATGAACACATAAAATGCAAAGAATAACATAGAGGTTTTGATGTCGAAGTAAGATTTATTAACTTGATTCTTTTATGCAATCAGAAGTTTCATACTCTATTAGATCATCTTGATCATGTTCACCATCTTTATATACCAAATGGGTTTTAGGATTCTTCCCTTTTACACTCTCTTGATAGAGGTCACAACGATGTTTGGAAGTCCTACATATCTTAGCCCAATGGTTTCCCATTCCATATCTATGGCATACTCATTTGGTCGAGTGTTGTGGTTTGGAAATACCACATCGTCCTCGCCCTCGACCACGGCCGGAATTGGGTCTACATCCACGGTTATAGTGGTTCCCACGGCCGGATGAGTTATAGTGGCCACAACCACGTCCTTTCAATACCACATCTATGACATACTCATTTGGTCGAGTGTTGTGGTTTGGAAATACCACATCGTCCTCGCCCTCGACCACGGCCGGAATTGGGTCTACATCCACGGTTATAGTGGTTCCCACGGCCGGATGAGTTACAGTGGCCACAACCACGTCCTTTCCATCCACCACGGTCACGGCCGTGT